ATCCAGTTGTTGGTCGACTGAATTAATTTCTTTTGTTCCAATTCATCAGCCCCACCTCTTCCCTGCTGATATCAAAACCCTCCCCGGCTTTAAGACACTTGACCTAGTTTCAAGATACATCATGTGACCAGGTACGAGGTAATCGATTGGCTAGTTACCTCATGAATAATTAATGAGTATGAGAAGAATATTTCCATCTGATAGCACTAATCACCCTTGGTACAACTGGACCATGATATTCTAACCATAACCTTCCACCACCCTACCAATATCTGCCTGATAACCACTGACAGTCAAATTTTTCGAACATGATAGTCATCCATAACAAGGATAAATACTGTACCTGTGGTGGAGTTGAAGGTACACTCTTTGGAGTTGCTGTTGAGTGGATGGCGTTGGCTTTCATTCTTGCCTAAAAATACAATTGCAAATCAGTTTCAAAGAAAATGGTAACCAATCCAAACTACAATAGTTGTTTCTTTTATTCAATTTTGAGGTGGCAACAAGACAAATATTTTAAGCTATCTTTCTTGCTTTTACCCAAAATTTTAAGCAAAAATCACTTTTTTGAGATCTTCCTCCTGACTATGTGTTTTATGACTGAAGACTCATCTGTACAGGTTTAGCCTTGTTTAAAAGCAAATCATTTGCAAAAGTCAACTGTAATGTAAATAATATGAAACTTGAACAATAACCCCAGAGACGTTTAGTCTAAGCCTGTATACAAATAAGTTTGTGGACTTCAAAAACAGCAGTATGCATCAAATGTGAAACTGGTGGACTTTAATGAACCCTGAAACAATCCCTCAGCTTAAGCTTATCTAATTTAGCCCAGAGGTTGTCATGTTCTGTGAAATAACCATGCCCTGACTAAGGCCCCGTCCACACGTATCTGGAAATTTCTGTATCCACAAATTTTTTTTTCGAATATGAAAATGTTCACATCCACATGCAGCGTAAATTTTTTGGTCCGCCCTGATGCACGCTAGCTGCTAGTCCCTTTGACAAATAGTTTTTTTTATTGATCATGCGTAAAATTGTGTTTACGTCAGTGTATTCGAAAATTTGCGGATACGACCATCCACACCTATCCRTATTCGGAGTGTATTCGAAAAATTTCCAGTCTGGAGACCGTTTTTGAAAATTTCCAGATACGGATACAAAAATTTCCGGACATATGTGGACACAACCCGTATGTGCAAACAAAAATTTGCGGATACACAAATTTGCAGATACGTGTGGATGGTGCCTAAGATCAGCCAAGAGGGTTGGATCTGCTAGTTGGAAATGCCTTGAGTTTAATCAGCCCAGGGGTTGTTTCAGAGTAAGGATTGAAGGTTTTTACTTACCATAATAGGCTTTCCTTTAAAAGTCTTGACCTCTTCTCTTAAATATTCATATGCCTATCACAAGCACAAATAAAATATCAATACTCATTGCTCATGCTCAGACAAAGAAAGAAGAAAAAAAAAGAAGAATAGAACATGTGAAAAAAAGGGGATGCAATATGAACTGGGTTATTAATTTCCCAAACAGATACAAAATGATTGGCAGAACTATTAATAATACATATAGTCATTTACAATGGTGATCCACAGGCAAGCTATTTTCAAGCCCATCATAGATACAGGTTGGGCATGGACAATGTATATCAAATGTCTAGGTGAATATTCTTTTAAGTTCTACTATTTTTTTTATCGATTTTGGAATATCTTATTGAAGCACAGGTGGCATATTTTTGAATGCCCCCCCCCTTCATCAAAGTGACCAAGGTAATTGATTCCTAGACCCATCGTCATATGTGAGTAGAGTTGAGTCATTTGATGGTCCTGTGCTTCAAGGATTTTTCTCTGGGTACTATGGTTTTTCCTCACTCCACAAAAATCGAACCCAAGGAAAGAAGTGCCAGGGTGTGGTTCAGCCAATGATAATTTCAATTGTATTTATTTTATAAGTTAAGTGTTACAATTTTGTATTCATTTTGTTTGAACAAGAAAATCCATGTTAAATGTATTGGACTTCTCCTGGGTGAGTGATTTCTAATAATTCTTAAAGACAGTCATTAGATAGCCATGATATAAGACACTTACCTTTTGTGCACAATCTTCATTTTCAAAGTGAATATACCAGTAGTCGTTGCCTACAAACTCGCACTTTACATGCTTAGGGCATCCTTCTCCCTCAAAGAGGGCTTTTACCTCCTAGAAACATTAAGCAGTCATGGTATGTCAAATTTATATTTAATAACTAAAGCTGTCTGGTAGCTTTGAAGCTGGTAGTCCACTCGCCTCTCACTTCTGAGGTCTCGGTTTGATTCCTCAGTTTGAGTCTCGTGAATTTGGCATTACACGTAAATTTATGAATAGAATTTGTTAGGTCTTCTTTTCTTTATTCTGCGTAAACCCAAAAAGTTAAACTCCACTTTGATCTGTAAGTTAGCAGTGCCCTGACTTAGATTGAACCAGACATTGTTTCATAAACTCCAATTTGAGCTGCAAGTTATCAGTGCCCTGACTTAGATCAGGAGCACTTTCCATTTAACAGGAAAAACCAGAAATTCAGGTTGGAAAAGCAAAATAATGGTTTGTGTCATTCCAATAGGCAAGTTCCAGAAAACTCAGACTTCCAACTGAGGCAATCCACTTCTCCTGCTCTTTTTAGTTTTTCCAGTAGACGCTAACAATCATTTGTCCGAAGTTAAAGTTTCCCACTCTTTTCTAGCATTTCAAACATTAGCAAACTCATTTGAAGGTCTTTGAAGGTTCTTAATTCCATACCTCAATAGGTGTTGATTCTGGTATCTCTCGTAGAACTACAATGCAGCGCCTCACATTTGCTCTTACTTTGTCACAGAGATCATTCATTTGTAGGAACGAAGATTCTAATTAACAAATTTATTTTTAATTAATGAAATTAGTCTGCAAATAATGAAACATAATCAAAAATAATGAAAACAAGAAAAGAAAAGAAAGGGAATGGAAAAGGGGAGAAAAAAAAGGAAAAAGATAAGAAAATAAGATTTTAAATTTTGAGATTTTTTAAAGATTTAAAGATTTTCTTTTTCTTTCGGATCTTAAGCTTTTTAAATGAGCGCTTGGGCTTCTTGTTGTCCTCTGGATATGCTCTGGATAATATTGATGAATTATCATGTTTACCTCTCAATACTTCCTTCACGAGTTCAAGATCTTTGGTCAACTTTTTTATCTTTGGTAAGAAAATAAGACAAAATGAATTAGATAACTCATTATCTATCAATTTAATTGAAGTAATTTAATAGCAGATATTACGGTTACAGATCTCTCCAAACAATTATTGCACTTGGCTCAAATTTAATGTCTTTCTCTTATAGACTTATGGCTATCAAAATGATATGTTTCATGTTAACCATATAGTTTTGCAGATAACGTTTTATAGGGAAGGTAAAATATAATATTGTTACAATTAATGCTGTTGTTGCGAATGCCCACTGATTGGCTGTAATTCGCTACAGATCATGGATAAACTTGCGTTTATTCTTTTCATCACTGAAGGTTTGCAAATCAACTTGTTAAGCTAGTTTGCTTTCACACTCTCTTCACATTCCTCAAGTGCAAATGTTCAACTCAATTTGCACATATGATAATGTCGTTGCATCACTTCCAACAGCTGCTACCAAAATTCTTAGTAACCAATATGGCTATTAACTAACAAATTTCACTGCCAAATCAAAAACAACTAGTATTTTACTAGCCAACTAATCTTAAGAACACTATTTTACCTGATTAAAGTTAGCGACGGTCCAGATAGGAACAAAATTGTCTCCATCCATTTGAGACACTAAAATAAAACATGAAAATACATTAGGAGAATAAAATATCATTATGCAGTTTTAAATAACTGTTAATGCTAAAAAAATCTGGTTTTCAAAATCATAATTGAGTTATGTTATCCTTGAATACTTCAATTATTCATACTTTTAAAGATTGGGGCGTTTTCATCCTTGCCCCTCTAAAGTATCTTAAGTGAAAGACATAATTTTATGATTTTAATAATTCATTATATATAAATACTTACACAAGTAAGTGTCTCTTAAGAGGTTCTCTCTATAAGAAAAACACAAGAGATATGAACAAATAGTTCTTTTTTTACAAGGGTTGCACTTAATAGCCAGTGGTTAACCTGTGCTCCTTGTTTCATGATCAAACTGGATTTCGAGGAGGGGCAAAACTGGAGAACCTGGGGGAAAACCTTCAAAGAAAACCAGCAAGCAACTCTACTCACATAAAACTTATCAAAGTAATTGGACCCTGGGGGGGGGTTGGTATGCTTGTCAATCCTTATCTAAGTTCCTTTTAGGGTATCACAAATCTAAAATGACCCATTCTCAACTCATACCAAGTGATTAATGTCACTTAGCACCCTTAGATAATAGTTAAATCAGCATTTAGTATCTTTTAGGGGTGAATCATTAACTTTTAAAAGCAATTTTCAAAATTTATGACAAGATGCCCACCCTTTTATTTTACAAATTGGACAATGAATAGAACAAGGGTTTTCTAACAGAAACCATGGATAAATCAAAATGTGTGCAAAATATTTGTAAAAATTACTTTAAAWGTTGGTGTTTTAAATTTGTACATAACTTGAGTTGCATTTCAACGATAGAAGAGCAATCATGATTGCCATGATGCTGTAATTTAATAACAGTCAGTCATCAGACACTGTCTGGCCACAATAGATCTTTTTAGCTTGCGCGCTATGTTTTTCTATTTCAGAAAAAGTGTCATTCCCAAGAGTACAATTTCTTTGTTTAACAATTATGCATGAGATGAAACATGAATATGGATATAATTCAAACAAAGAATCTTATTCTCAAGGGAATGACACATGGTCTGAAATGAGAAAACACTACACCCAAGCTAGTGTAAAAAAGTATATTTCCAGTCAAATCTTCGTCTTGCTGGTCTTTTCCAGAAATGAGGTACAGTTCCAATTTGCCTGGTCATCATTACCTCTGACTGACCGACCATCATTCTACGTCCTAGATTGGCTAAATATAACACTACTTTATTACCTTGAAAAGTAGTACTCCAGCTGCCTCTGGAGTAGAGCCTTCAAGTCCTTTAAAGGCATCTTGTCTGGTGATATTTCCTTAGTCTGTGCTATTTCCGCTAATGGACTTTGACTTGTGTTAGCCTCTCCATACCCATTAACAGCACGAGGGCTGTACTGTAGGCTTTCTGCCATTGCTCCTACTGGGTTATAGTGACCATCTTCACCATTATCTTGCAAGTGAGTTGGGGCTGCTGTGCTGGGAGTTGGGCCTCCTATGCGTTTGTCAGATAATGTCATCAAACTATACAATATATAAAAATAGTATAAGCAGGGTTTGTACAGTGTCCCGTTAGAATTCCCAAAACATTTCTAAAACTATCCAAAGCCCTTTGATTAAAATTCCCAAAAACACAAATAGCGTAAAAATAAAGCCAAATCCACATGGATCTGAAGCAGGCAATGACACATGTACATCACAAATACAGTGCTGAACAAAGGCTTCAGCACTTTACAATGTTAATACTGGCAAATAATAGATAGCTATTTAGTGACTATAGTGGCTATCACTCAACCAGGACATTCACTACACAAAGACACAAGTGGTTTCTTGTGTATTTGGCTTTTTGTAATGAATGTTTTTGTTGAGTGATAGTAACTATTAGTCACTAACTTGCTACTGTTTGTCAGTATCAACTTTTTTATTTCGTGGTTTTACTGCATGCGATCTAGAGAACAATGTAGACTGCTGTTCAGGCCAACTTGATCAAAATAAGTTGAAGGTGGAATTTTTCAAATAATGCGCGTTTTCTTTAAACATCATAGGAGATAAAGGGTTAAGGCTTCCATAATGAGATCACTCAACAAGTATCCATTCAATGATAAATTAATTATTCCCTTAAAAAGATATTATATTGCTTTTCAAAAAGCATATAATGCTGGAATGGAATACAAGTACAATTTATGGATACAGTGAAAGTAAAGAAATTTATTAAATACATTTATTATATTTCTATCAAAAGAGATGGTGTCCAACAGGCTACTTTGGAATCAAAAAGACTCTAGTATTCCTTTACCATGACAACCTTAGATGTAAAAAGATATAACTAGCTAAAAACTAGTGTGAGCTGCGTCGGTGTTTCTAATGAAACAGTAATGATGAAAAGGTAAATTATACACCGTGAAAAGAAGAAAAAACTTACTGACGTTTCGGACGCTAGTCCTTCGTCGGAGTGACGAATGTAACCTTAATTCACTATGCAGTAATTGGTATTCACAAGAGGCTTTGCAACTGTGTGCTGACATTTTCGATATATCCCTTTTTGTCTTTCTTACTAGCTCTGACTAAGCACTAACAACTGAAACATCAATACAGTTACAAACCTTTCTACATAGCATTTAAGTTTCCTTCTTATTACTTAATGTATTCAACATGAATCCATCAATATTACAATGCCGTCTCAACTAGTAACATCAATAGTTATCAAGTAGTTTCAACATGTAAATCGTACATGTATCTACCCACAATCATTGTATTTCTTAGCTTTGTAGCTTTTCAGGTAGCTAAATTTATTGAAATAAGCATTTAAATTTAAAATGTATTCCTCCAAAGGTACAAGTGGTTTATTCTCTATAGTATATTTTAAATTTTTTTAGAATTTATTTCATTTTTTGTGGTCTAAAAAGGCAGAAAACAAAATCAGAGGGTGCCACAAAAACATAAACCTGAAGCAACTTATCAAATCAACAACTCAATGAATTACCTTGTATATTGCTAGACTATAACAGATATAATGCAGCTTAAACATCAGACTAGGGATTACACTTTTGGACAGAAGACCATGCCAACAGCTTATCTCATGTCTTACTATCATTCTACAGTTAACTGTGGTCACATTGGATCGTTCTCATATTATGTTATAGACCAAAAATTCCTTATTAGTAACGACGGCCAAAATAAAGATTCAACTTTCAAAATACAATTTTTGCATTCAAATTATGTATATATTTGCATTTGTGGTAATATTTTTAGGATAATCTAAGAACATAAGACCAGAAAGTAGAATTCTATTGTTTAATATCTGTTCTCTGATTGGTTATCCAGCTTCAAATGACAATTAAGAGTTAGAGTATTTTGACAGTAATCAGTCATTGGTCATTAGATTTCCTTGGGAAGAATTATAATTAACCAAAATGTCAGAGACCCTTTCAGTTTGACATGATAATATGGGAAAACAACTTTCGTGTCCAAAACCAATAGCAGTTTTATAGAGATGTTTTTCCTTGGCTTTTTTAAGACAGGATTAGTTGTCTAAAGTTCAATTCGTTTCATTTAGAAGTTAAATCATTGAAGAAATTGTTTACACTGTTTTAAATTCTAAAGTTTATTTTAGCAGATGTACCTGGAAATACCTCAAAAGCTCTAAGCTCTATGTGAATTTACTAGAAATTCCCAAAATATCAAGCATGAAGACCTGTATYCTGAATATAGTCACATCAATTGCAATACAGTACAACAGGTCTGTCATTATATCATACATACCTGAATTGGTTGAAAACTGCTGCATTTGGGTTTAGTGCACCATTTGGAGAGACTGCTGCATCCTTTATCAATGAAAATAAAGTGTTACAAAAACCTCAACACACAAGCATATAAAACGAACATGGTTTTTAACTACTGTAAAATAAGGGATGGTTTTGAATTATTTACTTTGACTCTTTGTTCATGGCTCAAAATAGTGGTTGGTTATCACACAATGTGAGCCCAGAATTGGAAAAGTAAACATTAGCCATAAACGAGGTATGGCCAAGCTAAAGCTAATTTTGCCAGTTATTATAACCAGCAACTGTCCATGCGTTGTTTTAAGCACTGTTGCTGTCAAAAGTTTAATCCAACTGTCTAAGAAATGTCTCTTAAATTATGTAAATTGCAAAAACAAATAAATAGCTATAGAAGAAGGCATATCTGTATAATTTGGAAATCATACAGCTTTGTACTAGATAATGAACAGGTTTTCATAATTTTAGTACCTCGTATCCAAGTAAATGCTGTCAAAGGTTAATCCATGTGTGTAAAATAACATATTTCTAAATTATGCAAATGAATAAAATAAAGATATAGCTAGAGATAGGCATGTCTGTTTATTTTGAAATTTGTACAAGTTTCTACTAAACCATGTACAAACATACATAATTCTAGTAAGGTGTACTAAAGTAATATAGTAACTGATGAAAAAGTTGAACTTGAAGGAAAACATTTAAATTGCGATGTGGACTATATGTAGTATGCTGCTGCCAAATAATAATAATAAACACAGATCACAACATGACCATATACGATTGTTGACCTTCTTCAGCTAGTTGTGAACAAAAAAATCTCATGGTCTCAAACAACCTTACTAGAAAAGAATGCAAGTGACAAGCAGCGGTATAAAAACAAGATCATTTTAATAACGTTATTCACCCTTGACTTGATTCTCTCAATATGAGTAACAGTTCTTATTTAAAGGTCCTCTGATAAGAGATCATGATGGCATCTGTAATTTCTTATCTGGGGTCCTTAAAAAAAGAACTGTTACTAGTTATTGAGAGAATCAAGCTTAAGAGTGATTTCCAAAAGCTTTTTTTTCTATTGATTTTCTATGAAAATTCTTGAATAAGTGACCTGTTATGTATCTGAGCAGACGGCACAGAATACTATATTGTCTATCATGAATGATAATGATATCTGACCAAAAAGATCTGTAAACTTGTAACCATTTTGTGTAAGCTAAAGGACAAACTAGAAAATAGTTTGTATCAAAAACTACTTGAGCCTGTTTAATGACAGCCATATATAACGATAAATTCGAAGGCCAAGAGATCAGGTTTCTAGTATGGTGCATAAACACCATTATAAATATATCACACTCAAGAAGTTCATATTTTCATAATTTTTGTTAATTTCTTTAGGGGGTTTTTAATAGTGACGAATGTTTGATAAATTGTAAGCAATTTTTTCCTTGAAGACTTCAATTCTTCCTTAAAAAGGTTTTTGTACAAAATGTTTACAAGTAATGTAATAGTTACATAGTAAACAAAAGCTATAAACGCCCTAAAAATCCTTATCCATATAACTTATAAGGTTTACAGAAGTCTAAGTATCCCAACTACTGTTGTGTTTATATTTCTAAGACTAGCAATTCCAAATTCTACATTGGATGTCAAGCAGTTTACTACGTCTAACTTAGTAGCAGCAAATTTGCTCCCTTTGTCCTGGTGTTGACCAGCTGGGCTAAAATACTATGAAAACACCCCCAGAAAGGTGTAACATCTAGCATAGAAATCTCGATGTCACCTTGACGTTTATTTTAGAATAACGACACACACAAAAATAATAAATAAATATATATATATATATATAAATAAAAATGAGAGAAAGTAGACTTTTTCTTTTCTTAGAACCGTTTGATCGCAAGAGCCCTCGAGAGGATGACTTTATAAGGCTTAAACTGCCGGTTCTAAACACCATCCTAGAATTTCAAACTAAAATCTCAAATAATCAAATATGCTTTTGATCTCTGTAATTTGAAATTTAAGATATATTCGTATAGCTTTAAACGAAAAAGTCATTCATTATTTTGCATTCCGTTGTTGTTTGTTGATAATCGTGATCGCGGCCATTTTAAGATGTCTGGCAATGACGAGGCGAAACCGAATTGAATTTTTTTTAAACGAAAACGTTTCTGGTGCTACATTCAAACAGCATTGAGTTACTTAAAATCGTAAGATGTTGGAATTCCTAGTTATAGTGAAATTATTGGAATATTTTCCCCTTTGGCAGCGTTGGTTTGTGCAATAGGTATCGAGTAGACAAGTAATAATCTTGGGCTCTTACAGACAGTATTCCATTTAATGAATTGAAGCTTAGCTTTTCCGTATTCGACTCTCCGTTCTCTTCCTGTAAAATCGAAACTAACTTGTAGGACGCTGTAAATAACTTTTATTACATTCAAAACAAATCATTAATAAATAGTAAGCTGGAATTCGTAAGCAAAAGCAGACTGGTCTTCCATCTTTGGGATCAAGAACTAGACATTTTGTAATGGAGGATTTTCCGGAAAAGATTGCATTTAACAACTTCTAACGCCAAACAGCCTATTCGAAAAAGCCAGTGTTTAGTTTGAACGACAAACCAGGAGCCATATCATAGCAGATGTGAGTTTATTTACGATGAATAATGCTTTTATGTAGGATTTGGTAGTGTTAATGTTCTGGTCAACTAGCCCACCCTCCCAAAAATGACTCGACATACCTGTTTGATTTCTGGTGATCGAGGTGGAATTTCACTCGTTGTATTCACGATTTCAGAACTCATGCGGATGAAAACTGCAGCTGATAATTGTTTTTCGCGTTCTCTTAATATCAGTAGATTACCAAAGATGGGTTGAGTGGTATTAATGCGATGTTTTCTCGCCTCGAGTCCGGGAAACAGAAAACAGCACAAATGACAGACTCCCTCCTCACTCTTCAGTCAGCGCTGGGCTCGTCTCCGTAAAATACCCCTTTTATTCCAACTACCTTGCCACTGCTGTAGGCCTAGGTTCTTCAACGTTCGGCTGAAGTAAATAAGATGTCCTTGAAACCTTCTAGAGAATAAACTCTGTGTTTGCCTCCTTACCAACACACGTGGCGACCACAAAAAAGTGAATAATCTCAGGATTCCCACTTTCAAAGAAAGCCTTTCCTTTTGAACTCCAAACTAGAATAGCAAAGCTCTTGAAAACACTGTCTTAGAGACTGTAAAGTAGATTTTTAAGAACTGAAAATTGCTATTCCAAAGAAGCAACCCAATTTACTCACTTCCAAAAGGCAGCCAAGAGCAGCAATCAAACCTGACTAAATTTCTATCACCCCCGCATGTATTTTACAAAGATAGTACAAACTTTTTGATTGACTCATTCAGCCACCGCCACCTTTTCCTCGACCAATTAAAATCCACGATAGAAAAATACTCTATTTCCATACGGTTGAAACGATAGATTATCGACTTGAAAAATCCAGTCGATTTATTTTCGGGCTTGGATTGTAATGATTTTATTGGTTTAGAAAGATTCTTCAACTCTGTTACGATAAATTATTGATCTTAGATTTGTTGATCTAAAATTATGAAATGTCATTGGTTCAGACAATTTTTCGTGAAGCCAATCAGAAGTTTTGTAATATGTAGAGTCTTCGTTCAGACAAAAATGGAGGACCAGGTTGGAGAAGTGAGAAAAGAGCACCAATTTGACAAAACTAAGCTGCACAGATATCTCAATCAAAACCTACTAGGGTTTCCGAAAGGTGATGGCGAGCTACTGATTTATCAATACAGGTACTGCATGATAATTTTTTCACTTGCATGAAGGTCAAGGATTTGTCTTGTGTTGTACAGACTGACTGGTTGTTTAAAAACAAATAGCTTTAAAAATTAGGCTAAATATCGTTTTAATCCATGATAAATTGCATGTCATGACCTTGAGTGATCTGAACTTGCAATGTTAAACTGATAACTGATAAACGAGGGGCCAGCACCCTAAAGAAAAGGATGGGGGGGGGGGGCTAAGAAAAATAAGAAACGCTAGTATTGGAAAAGGTAAAAGAGGGGGTGCTGTAGCCCCCCTGCCCCACCCCTTCTGCTGCCCTTGATAAATGTAGATAAGCTTAAGGGGTGTCCGGAGAAATATCAAACAGGGTCTTGCAAAAGTCGTATTTTCATTGCCGTCTCAAAGTATATATTTTCCCCTTGGAATCATCGTCTTGGAATAGATCGTATCTCTCAAAACCCTGCCTCAAAGTCTTGCAATCCTTGAAAGAACATACTCAAGGCTTGGCTCGTAAAAATCGATCATTTACTGTAATAATGATAAAATAAATATAAAAATCTATCATTAACTCTCGTGAGCTCACACTAATGAATAACCCAAAGTTTCTGCCTATAATTGTTTAAATAAACATATGGCAGTCTTGGAAAGTCTAGCTTGGACCATTCCAGCCATGTCCAATGGTTCAAACGAACCCCCTCTCCACCTTTTTAGCAGTAAGAAATAATGTTAATTGCTATATATATTTTTTCAAGAAATGGCATAACAATTAAAGATTGGTAGAAAAATGGACCTCCCCTTTTAAGGTCCTAGTGATGGATCTGCCAGTCACCCCTGAGGCGTGGTCAGGGAGTTGCTAGTTTCTTACCTCTTTGGCTTAATTTCATTGCAGGTATTCAATTGAAAGATGGCTGATAATTTTGTTTATTTTTTCTTATTATTTCAGATCTGGCCAATCCAATCCTACTTTTAAGTTAAACAAGAATGGTTGCTTGTTTGTACTTAGAAAGAAGCCTCCTGGAAGACTTTTGAAGGGAGCTCATATGGTACACTTTTATTGTATTTAAACTTTTTTTTTAAATATATACAGTTGGGCAGTTTGCATGATGCAGTCATATGAATTTAGAACCAGCCACAACCAAAATGCTTCACAAATTTTCCTTGTTATTCAAATTTTTATTTTCATATGAGAATAAGTAAGGCAATGGGTGCTAATTAACAGAAAAAAATAAAGAGTGCAAGGTATTCCAATAGCTGTAGTTAATGAAACCAAAATGCAAATGTCCTATTATTATAGCAAATCTAGTTTCCTAATACTGATAATTGTTATGGTCGTTACAAAATACTTTTCTTTCCATACTATATTAATGAAGAGGACAAAACTTTGTATACCCCAAATCGATATATGGTTCACCAATTTGAATAATTGTTGTACTTGACTGGCTAGCCTAACTGTGTTGATGTGAAAACATAAAACATTTTTACATTGGAGGCTAGTAATAAGTCCAGATTGTGTACTCTAGCTATACCAAGTCATTATCTTTGATTTTGTTTTGCAATGAAGGCAGACTGCCTTGCACTGGTGTCCCATTTTTGAATTTTCTGGGTCTGCCTCTGTCTGCACCCAGTGTTACACACAAGTACTAGTCTATTGCCTAATTGCAATCAATGACTTGTCATTATCAAATATAATCACTGTTTCAAAAGATTTATTTCATTAATTTCAAGTAATTTTACCTATTATTTTGTTTTAATTTAATCATTAATTTAATCATTGTCAATTTCAAACTCAAAGGTGGATAGGGAGTTTAGAGTGATGTCAGCACTCTTTCAAGCCTCCTTTCCAGTACCGAAGCCTTTGTTGTATTGTAGTGATACCAGCGTAATTGGAACTGAATTTTACATCATGGAACATGTTCAGGTAGTCTGAATTAATCTAACCTATGAGTAAGAAAATAATAGAAATTAACAGCAGATTACACAGATTGGCACAGGAGTGGGTCCAGGGAAGGGGTGCAGGGGGTGCGCATTTTTCCTGGTTCAACTTTGTGCCACTACTTTGAAGATGTCCAATACAAAATGTTTTTTCCTTTTGATTCTAAGGGATGCACCCTCATCTCCCTGGGTTAACTTCCTCGTGCACAGCGCCCGATTGGTGGCTCATGCACTGTTATATAAAATATAGAATAAAAAATGTTATACAAGTAATTTAATCTAATAAATAAAAAATTCTATGTTCCAATCTTAATGTACATTTGTTTTCTCAAGGGACGTATATTTCGTAATCCATCTCTTCCTGCAGCATCAATCCATGAACGACATCAAATACACAATGCAATGATATCAACATTAGCTCATCTTCACAGCATAAATTGGGAGAGAATTGGACTTTCTGACTTTGGCCACCATAGCAAGTACTTACAAAGACAGGTATTGCAAATCTTAGAGCAGTTTTCACATATGACTGTAAAAAAAGTCGGTGCTGTATGCGTGCCTTGCCATGACCATGATGTTTCCTAGAATATTGATTGGGGGATTTATTTCTTGTGCAATGTGATTGGTCTGGCAGTACTGTGACATTGGCGTGACCATGTCAGCACCGTGTTTGTGCTTTGGTCCAGGTATTTGATTGGATGGAGAGTATATTATTATGCAATGTGATTAGTCTGGAGTATAATGCCGAGCCATGGCATGTCACAACCTTGTTCATGCCTTGAGCATTTCACAGCCATACAAAGTGCTAGTTGTTTTTTTTTTGTGTTATATTTATTGTTTTATTAGTTTTAAATTTGCAAAAAATGTCCATGGATACATTTTCTTGGTTGCATGTGACATTATAGCCAGCACCAAACATGTCAAACATGTACACCATATATTTCAGAGGACTTTCAGAATTTTTTGAATTAGGTGGTCATAAGTCTGTAATACTACTTAGTCAGCTAGCACTGGTTCTGTTACAATGAGCATAAGGTATTTTATAAAAAAGTAGCCTGGAGTTAAATTTGAAGCAATCACCAGAGCTCCAGCTTATTCTGAAAGCTCTATCTTATATTCTTATGGGAAAGGATGCACACCAACAATAAGCATGGTAGTCAGAATATTACTTCCCAAAATGGTACCTGTGCACCATTAGTTAAAAAAGTTATTGCTGCTGTTACAACCATGGTGGCTGCAGAGGGGCACAAATAATACCCCCACACCCCAACTTTCCAGTAAAATAAAGTATATATATAAAGTCACATATTGTATTTCTAACTGAAATTTTCACTTTTTCTGTGCTTTTGAATCATATGGTGATATACCATTGTTTTCAGTGAGTGAACGATTCAAAATACTAATTATGATGGATTTCGTACACAGACATCGACGTGGAGTAAGCAATATGATGCTTCAGCTACAGCCAACATACCAAGCATGGAGAAGTTAAAAAACTGGTTACATTCCAATATCCCTCAGGATACATTTAAGACAGGTTCATAATTTTTTTTTAAAGTGACCACAGCGAGGGAGAGGTTGAGAGGGGTTGGGTTGGGGTTGAAGGGGGCAAGTCATAGCTCCCACTTAAAAATATTTCTATAATTCATACTAGATCTAGTGTCACCTCATGAAGAATTTAAAATTTATACATTTGACTTTAAAGAAAAAAGTATCAAAAAAGAATATGTTATCCATTGAAGAAGAAATGATTAAGAACTGTCGCTCTTGCTCTGGAAATGAGAACTGATTCTGTCCATATTCTCAAAAATGCTAAAAGCAACTTTAGGCAAAGTCCAGGCATGGCTAACTCACAGATCAAAGCCTGAAGTAACCTCTGGGTTGTTCAAAGGCAGGGCACAGCTAACTCCCGGATTGAACCCTAAAACAACCTCTGGGCTGATCTCAGTCAGGGCATGGCTAACTCACAGATCAAACCCTGAAACAACCTTTGGGCTGATCTCAGTCAGTTCATGGCTAACTCACGGATAGAATTGGACTACAGCTTGTTTAGGTTTTGAGGTGGGAGGAAATTAGAATACTTCTAGAATTTTCCAGAATTAATAGGCATCTCTTGAATCATGGAAAACACCAGTCTCACTCTACTCACATCCCCACTCTTGATTCAAGCAAGAAGCATAATGTTTATTGAATATATATTAATTTTTACTAAAAAAAGGTTTTTAATTTTTAATTTTTTTTAAAAATTAGTGATTGTTCATGGTGACTTTCGCCTGGATAACATCATTTTCCATCCAACTAAAGTAAGAATCACAAGCTGTTGCAGCATTGCTAAGTTGCTTGTATTAACCACTCTCCCAATTCTAATCATTCTCACAATAGTTTGTATTGCCTAGCTATGAATTCACCAATTGGCCCTTAGATTATTTGCACATTGTGTACTTCGTTATGGTCAATTAAACATTCAAGACACTGCCTTTGATTTGTTGTACAAATTTACTTCTTTTTGTGTAGTTTTTAGCTGTTTTTGGGGAGGGAGAAAATGAGAAAAAAACGGCTAAAAACTACACAACAAGAAGTTAAAAGGCATTAAGAACAATGAGATCAAGGTAAGCTCATTTTTTTAATTCTAATTTTTTAAACGATTTTTTTAGCATATAAGACAGCATAGATACATTGCTTGAGCTGCCTGTGCTACAACAGGTGCAATCTAGGGAGCAATTAGTGGACTTTTACTCGTTTGACATGTGTAACATTAATATGCTGTGTTTTAATCAAGCATTTTTGTTTTATTTGCAGTTTGAAGTTATTGCAGTCCTTGACTGGGAATTGGCTACGCTTGGTCACCCTGTGTCTGATCTTGCCTATACATGTCTGCCTTATCATTGGCCCAAACAGATGCCCTTTCAGGAAATGTCTTTAAGTGAGTTATAAAAAAAATAGAACTTTCTCAAATTTGCTTGAGTAACCACAGAACAATTCCTTGCATCATCCACAGCCATTAAATAGTCAAACTGTCCATGATTATGGTTCATTTGAATTGTATGTATTTTCAGATGGTGTTACAGGAATCCCATCTGAAGCAGACTGTATTTCCATGTACAGTAATAATGCTGGCCTCATAATTACTAAAGATGTTTGGACTTTCTGCCTTGCTTTAAACTTCTTCAAGTATGCATCAATAGCACAGGTTTGTCAGCCATTATAGGTTGTAAGGTTGTTGGTGGATTGTCAGTAGGGTGCTGGTAGGTTTTCAGTAGGGTGTTGGTAGGTTGTCAGTAGGGGGTTTTTAGGTTGTCAGTAGGGTGTTGATGGGTTGTCAGTAGGGTGTTGGTGGGTTGTCAGTAGGGTGTTGGTAGGCAGTCAGTAGAGAGTTGGTGGGTTGTCAGTAGGGTGTTGGTGGGTTGTCAGTAGGGTGTTGGTGGGTTGTCAGTAGGGTGTTGGTAGGTTGTCAGTAGGATGTTGGAGGGTGGTCAGTAGGGTGTTGGTGGGTTGTCAGTAGGGTGTTGGTAGGAGGTCAGTAGGGTGTTGGTAGGTTGTCAGTAGGGTGTTGGTAGGTTGTCAGTAGGGTGTTGGTGGGTTGTTGGTAGGTTATTGGCAGTTTATTAGTAAGTTGTTGCTAAGTTTTTGCTGGTAAGATGTTGGTTTGGTGTTGGGTAGCTTTTGGCCATAGCCATAAATGTCACAAATTATTAAGGGGTTTCATTCTTTACAATAATAAAATAACTATATTGAATAGTTTACATTATATTTTAGGGGGTATATAAGCGCTCACTTCAGGGCAATGCAAGTGCACCAAATGCCTCGATATTTGGCAAGGTTGTGGAGCCATTATCAAAAGCTTCCTTCAAAATAATAGAGTAAGTAAGTTAGTTATTCTACAGAGGTAGTAATAAGTAAATGTTTTTAGTTTTCCAGTTCAGTCTATAGTTTCTCAGTTTCTTCTTTTCTTGGTTCAAAGTTTATTACCTTTGAAGGTTTTCTTTTGTCATTTCTAAAAGTCTTGGCAGGCATTAGTGTAGGGGTTGAGATTGGGTTGCCAAATATATTGATAATAGTCTCCTTCATGGTCCCTCTGCCATTTTGAATAAGACTAAAGGTGCGACAGAGAAATGGGCAATAATGACTGTCAATCAAATAATGGTTGTTCAAATAATCAATGTAATATGTATTGCAACCAGCCCTCCCCATACGGTGCTCTCCCGTGAGGTTCGCTCCACACGCACCGCACTACATTCTATATTTACAACATACAACACTCAATTCACATGTTGATTTTAAGAAGGGAGGAAACCGGAGAACCTGGAGAAAAACCGTCGTAGCATAGGAGAGAAAAACACATCAAACAAACTGTGATCCAGTCTGAGCCGGGGCTCGAACCCGGACCACAGTGGTGAGAGGCAAGCAGTAAAGCCTTACGCCGTGGGTGGCATTGGTGGCATGACATATATAACTGCCTTTTAATGATTTATATTGTCATGGTCTAATTGCCATTACCTGTTGCGACACTTGTCTCAATCAGCATGTGACAATAATCCTTGAAGTAATACCCCACCTAATATTGTTTGTATTGACTGTTTATCAGAGACAACAGGTCTACTGATGCTGATGACTTACAAATACCGCCAGAGTTTAACATGCTTCACATATCTTCAAAAGCCAGGCACATGTATGTCAAAATGAAGAAATTCATAGACGATTACATTTTACCAGCAGAAAAAGTAAGCACTAGTTTTTGGAAGCATGGGTCTTATGCGCTGGTCATCGAATGAATGTTTTCACTTGCATAATATTCGTACATTAAAATAATAAGGAAACTGATATTTTTAGCCATACTTGCTATGATTTTTTGTGCATGATGTTCAGTATCACCAGGGTGGTAAAGGGAGTAACAATCACTTTTCACGACAAACCAAAACTGTCAAATCACTTTTAACGAAATAACCCTTTACCGCCATATATCACGTGATGACATAGACGATTATATCGGACATACGTTATATACATGTAAGTACACCACCTTCCAGTCTACACCATCGCCTGATGAAGACTAGCATTAGCAGTCGTAAGCGTCGCGGTCCCCCTTAAACTGCCACAATCGTGAGACAAATGAATAAGTGTAATCCTTGATTTATATCCACGATGAATAATATTTCCCATTCTACGTGAAGAATTGTTTCACAATCACTTGCAAAACAACTCTATCTTTCTTTCTTTAGATTTTTTTAGAACATTCATCTAACCTGTCGACACAGTGGACCATTCACCCCTATCTTGAAGAACTTAAGGTCAGTAAAAAATAACTCATCGTTTGACACTACGACGTTACGGAACAATAATGTTCTTAGTAAATTTTTAACATGATTGTAAAGGAACTGGAACTTGATTGAGTAGTGGTGCAGGAACGATTTACATTTCATCAATTCCCGAAAACTCTTTATCCCGGGGGGTTGGGGGGTTGGGGGGGATTAAATATCTTGTAGATGACAAAATGACTTTTGTATCATAAGTTTCTTTGTTTTCAATCCAGGAAAAGGCTCAAAAACTTGGTCTTTGGAACCTCTTTTTACCTGCACAATCGGGCTTATCACAGCTGGATTATGCATTATTAGCTGAACTTTCTGGCAGATCACCTTACGCTCCTGAAGTATTCAACTGCAGTGCACCAGGTACGACAAGCATTTTCGTGACTACCACAGGAAGACCAATTTAGATGAGATTGTTAGACGACATTTGGTTATATTACACATGCTAATTTGCGGGTTGAAAATAATAAAATTGTTACGACTGAAGGTAAACACATTTTTGTAATTGAAGATATTTGAAACAACCATTGTAATCAAGTCAATCAGACTTCGACGTTATCGGTGTAATAAGTTATATACTTTGAAACCTTATCAGCTCTAGGACGACATGGCTTGCATATGGAAATCATAAAGAGAAACAAACATGAGCGAAAATATATTGTCCTGTAATTTAAGTGCTTTTTAGGCTTTCACATGTGATGGAAATGGAAATGAGCCTCTCTTTTTTTGCGGTTTTCACTGGTATATCTTTTTAAAAAAACTTAACGTTTCTGCATCACGAGTGGATGCTATCATCAGAATAATGTTTTTCAGTCTGATTTTTTTTTTAAGTTCAGAGAAGGGTTTTTAGGTCTTCCTTGGTGTAGCAAGCTTTATTGTATTCTGGGTTAGGTTTTTTCTTTTGTAGATTATTGTTTAGCTCCCAACTAATTCTCCTTGGATATTGTTTTATTGTCTTCATACTTTAAGAGAGTCGGCTTTTTCTTACTTGGTTTTTATTTTCGTCTAATTTTTTATCTATATTGGGCTACCTTTGCTATGACAGACTTATTAGCAACACCATTGCTATGATAGCCTGCAAAGCAGGCGTTCTTGTGGATTTGGGGGAAAAACCGGGGTGTTGGGGAAACTTTGGAAAATTGGAACGAGCGAGAATTTGTTAGGTCCCATTTTTCTCGCGGGCACGTAGTCGAAACAGAAAAAACCCCAAAACCCCGATTCTACCTCAAACCATCAAAAGAACGCCTGCTCTGCAGGCTATTGCTATGATAAAGTTTTGAGTCCTTTTGCGTTTATATTTTTCGTTCAGATACTGGAAACATGGAGGTTCTTCACTTGTATGGTTCCCCTGAGCAGAAGACCATGTGGCTTGAACCGCTACTACAGGGAAAAATACGGTCAGCCTTTTGCATGACTGGTGAGCAGAAGAAGCTTTATTCAAACCTTGAAACTTTATTCAAAACAAGAAGAAAAAGAAGAAACGTTTTTCTTGAGTGCCAGAGGTTTCTGCTTCTTTGGTGTCCTTGAAAAGGCACCCTGGATCTTATCTTAGAGATGATCTCGCTCCAGTGCCCAAAAAACTTGAGGTGGTGGCCGGGGTGATTAGTCACGAGAGAAAGACTGTACGACCAAAAATCACCAAAGCAAGGGAGCCTCGGAAACTCATATAGATGTGGTTATCTAAAAAGCAAAGTTAACCTGGAGCAGAAGCTGGTCAGCGTAATAATTATCTCTTACTGCGCATGTTCTTCAGCTTTTGGTCGGCCACAGGGTTGGCTTTGCCGTCGCTGTTGCATTCGCTTTTGTTTCAAGTTAATTTGATATTCTGGATCAGTAGTAACTGTTGTGACATGCTGTTTTGTCCTTTTATTGCAGAACCTGGTGTTGCGTCATCAGATGCCACAAACATGGAATGTGAGATAAGAAAGGAAGGAAAATATTACGTTATTAATGGACGAAAATGGTGGAGCAGTGGTAGGTATAGACCTCTACCTTTGGTCTAATGTTTTCCCATTTCAGACCACGTGCCAATCTCTTGAGAATAGAATTATTTCTTTGAGTCGGTATCTATATTCATTTGAATTATCATAGGCACTCGTTAAACAAATAAATGATACTCTAGGGAATGACACGTGGTCTGAAATGGGAAAACACTGCGCCCAAGCTAAAAGAGTCAATCAAACCTGTACAAGAAGCAATAGAAAAGGCATATGGACGTATGCCTTCACTAGCTTTGTTCCTGAAGTCTTAATAGCTTTCATTTAAAATGGCATCAAGATTTTTTGCCAGTGGAGTTTGAATAACTCTGTACTGTTGTCGTTATTAGGTGCTGGAGATCCAAGATGTAAAATAGCCATTGTCATGGGTGGATCTAGGGATAAAGACTTACCACGGTAAGTATTAGTCATTCCGAGGTGGAGCAAAAAACGGCTGTGTCTAGCTGGCATTGCAGTCCATTGTGTTTTTTTTTAGGGAACATATTTCCAAGATGGCGTCTAATTCGCGTTTTGCATCTCTATTTATTTGGGAAAATCCAGGTTTTTTTAATCATAAAAAGAATGGGGGGATGTATGGGTGAGAATTCTCCATCAGTATGCCCTTTCCCCAGAGGAAAATATTTAGTGATCCCCTCTGACTGTATGTTATTTATCAGTTATTTCAATACCCCTTTTTCAAGGGTAACTGAAACTTCAAAGCCCCTTATTTTCTCACTCAAGACTTCCACCCTCCCCCCGCAATCCCTAATCTTTCAATAATTAATGGTGCCCTAAGGCTTGGAATATAGAATAACGTTTGGATTTTTTTGTTATTGTTGATGTCATAGACACAGAAGACACTCGATGGTTCTTGTTCCTCTTGATACTCCTGGCGTAACGAAAATCAGACCGCTTCAGATATTTGGCTATAACGGTCAGTTTAGTACCTTTATGCTTTTATTTTTTTCGTTAACTAGTTCTATTTGGGAAGGCGATACACGTTATGAAGGAAGATGAGGATTTAGGGTGTATTCCTATAAAGTTCGGATGTAATGTTTTTCTATTTACGACCTATTTTAGGGGAATAAGATTCTTTGTTTGAGTTGTATCCATATTCATGTGTCTTTTCAAAGCGCAACCGTTAAACAAAGAACTCTAGGGAATGACACATCTATGAGAGATCTATTGATCCATACCCTAATCTCTCCCCTTTCAGTTAATTATAGTGGATCTTTCTATTCTTTTTTACTTAATTCTGTTTCAGATGCTCCTCATGGTCACTTAGAGATTGTTTTTGATAATGTTCGAGTCCCTGCAAGTAACATGATCCTTGGTAAGGACAATTATGTCGCACATCTCAACGAACAGTCAAACTCCTACGTTCCATCCCTGCATGCTGAAGCCTCCTTCCATTATTGCTGGTTTTCAATCATTCCCACATGTCAACAAACAGTCAAACTCCTACGTTTCATCCCTGCATTCTGAAGCCTCCTTCCATTATTGCTGGTTTTCAATCATTCCCACATGTCAACAAACAGTCAAACTCCTATGTTTCATCCCTGCATGCTGAAGCCTCCTTCCATTATTGCTGGTTTTCAATTATTCCCAAGAGAATGAAATTACAAGACACGGCGGCCATGTTGGATGATATAAGTTTATCCAACATGGTGGCTGTGAAAAGGTAATAAGTTCATGTTCTAATGGAATACAATGCATATATTGTATAGTGGTGCATTGTTTTATATAGCATGCATTAACATGAACTTATATCCGTGAAAAGCATCAATTATACACCGAATCGAAAAATGGTGAATAACTATCGTTCTGCTCTGACTAGCAACTGATACATGTGAAAACGCTCTTATGTGTCCACGTGAACACGAGGCTACTCAGTCGCTACTCAGTTATAGGACACGAGGGGCAGTGTTTGCCTGTCATTCGTAGGCTAGTAATGAGATTCATGAGACTCGTTCAGCTGATCGATACCCAGCAGTAGAATACTCTCTGGTTTATAGCACATGACGAGAACCGTTTGTGTGTCATTTGTAGGCTGGTAAAATGAGATTCATGAGACTCGTTCATCTGATT